AATACGTATTTTACACCAACGGAGTTTATATTATGTTCCAGAAACAAGAAAACTTGTATACCACTGGCATAATATATATGCCGAAAATCAGTAAAAAAAATTGACGGTAGGTGTAAATAATGCACGAAAAAGCGGTATAACTTTTACACTGAATCGAAATAAACTGTTCAAAAACTACGCTTAGAAATAGCATATTTTTTATATTGAAAATGTATATCACGCCGATGTAAAAAATACACAAAATATTTTGGTGTATTTTTGACTTTGGTGCTACTTGAGAATGACACTGGTGACAATGTCATACAGGTGTACTCCTATCAAACAGACAATGTCTTGCAGCGGTCACTTATGGAAAGTCTATTGCAGGACTTTGTCGCTTCAATGTCATCAAAGATCACTGCATGACGAAATCATGCACAGGCCATCGACGACCAAATTACCATTTATATGAAAAAGTCATAAACGACTTCCATATAAACGGAGCCCAAAGTCATTGAAGACCTAACATGGCCGTACACGATACTTAAGTGACTATTGCATGACATTCGTTACGGAGTATGTCCTTGAACAACAATCCACAACTACATTTTTAACCGACTTCCTAAAAAGGAGGAGGTTATCAGTTCATCCGAATATTTTTTTTTTGTTATGTATGTTACCGCATAACTTATGACCACGTCAACCTGATTTCGATAATCCTGTTTGCATCGGAAAGGTAGTGTCTCAGAAGTTGTCCCATAGTAATATGGTTTAAATCCGATCATTGGAACATGATATATATATATATATATATATATATATATATTTATGAGAATTGAAGTCGGTTTTGTTTTTTGCTAAAAAATTACTTGTTTCACTAAGGATTATATTTCATCAGGTATACAGCATAACTGTTACATGAAGCAAAATATTTTGGGGGTATCGAAAAGTGCTTAGTTGTTTTTTGTTTCTGTGGTACAAACGATTATACAATCCTATTTACTTATTTTTCTCTGTAAAGACAAAATACATGCGTATGTTTTATGTCTGCACATATTTATGTATACAACTTTGCAAAATATTGTACTAAATAATCTATGCATGGGCGTAGGCTGGTAGGGGCAGGGGGGTGCTCGAGCCAGCCCCCCCCCCCCCCCCCCCGTAACTTTAAAATTGTTCTTATATATATATAAAATAGTACCCTGAAATGCCAGCTGCCGATGAATCTATGCTTTTGTTTATAAATAAATTTAATATTTTTTTGCGTTCTCTGATTGCACCACGCTCGCTGAGAGTCCGCGCGCCACGCGGTATGAAAGCAAAAGCACCCGTGGCAGGAGCGAAACAATATAGTTTAAAAAACTAAAACCTCCCTATTATAATTGCCGTCCGTACTGTCATCAGGTATGTAACTTGAGAATAGAAATCGCTGCATCTTTTAGGCGCATCAATATTTAGTCTTTCCTTTGAACTTCGGACTAAAACCTGTGGAACTGTAAACTACAATTTTACGCTCTCAAATGAGAGTAAAAGGAGAACAGATGCAGAAGTGCATAGGAACGCAAAAAGCACTATTTCCTGTAAAAACGTTAGACGGTTTGTTTACATGTCATTGGTACTACACTGATTTGGCTGAAATATCACTAAATAATTATTAAAATCTATACATATTCAAATATTTCGTTGTTTACTTCCATTTTTTTTAACAAATATAATGTTCTTTGCTTTCACCGCTTTCTGTTTTTGTTTGCACGTGTAAATCAGCTGATCGTTTGACACTTTTCATGAACTTACAGGAAAAAAAACTCCGGACTAAATCCTGTAACTTCTGACTAGGAACAGTTGCTCAGTTACTGTCTTAAATGTGTTCCCACTTACAGGTTTTATGTCAATAGGAACGACTTCCTGTAAGTTCTGACTAAATCCTGTAAACCGGACTGCTATTGGAACAGACTAATTACATAGTTACATCCCGAGCTAATAAGAGGAAGGTAAAAAATTAATAACTAGCGACTCCGTGCAAGTTTCCGTATTTATTTTTTCTTTTAAATAATGTATTATAGAATAAGTATTGATATTCCATTTGTTTATAAAATTTCTTTATAAAAATTAAAAAATGTATACAAAATAATGATTATTAGAAAAATGGAAATAATCAGGCTAAATCGTGTCTAATTAACTATTATCGTGGAAAAATCAGCAAGATACATTCTATGAATCAGTGGATAATAAATAATTACTGAATTCATCAAAAACAAGTAAAGAAGTATAAGTTCGGGCGAAACCGAACTTTATATACCCGGCGCAGGTATCATATATAGTCGTTTCAACTTTCGCTGAACTACCTTTGCATGATAAGTAGGGGTCTTTACCCGAGAGTTAGGGCCAGTTGTCCAATGTCTGGTTATCACTACTTGCCGGTTAAACATCATTATCGACGTTTTCGACATCATGCATATAACATGTGATCGATAAAGCAGTCGTTGTATTTAACCGGAGCTTCTACCTCCGATTAGTGCTAATAAGACATTGAACAACCGGCCCTTAATGATTTAATAGAACCTAGTTAGGTACAAATCGATTAAGTGGTTACCGAGGTACACCTTTGTAGTTATAAAGTGGGCGGTGCTACGCCGAATTCCCAAAAGTCTATAGCAGTCTTGTTTATTGTTAGGATATTGCTGTAACTATTAACTTGAAGTAAATTAGCGTACTCAGTTATTGAAATGTCGGAGTTTTCGTATTTCTGAAATTTACCGTTATACGAGAAGCGGGTATAATTTTGGTCCGATTTGAATAATATTCAGCAAATTGCTTTTCCGTACCGAGTTTTGTAGAAATTGATGAATCGGTTACCGAGATACACATTTGTGGTTATAAGTGGGCGGCGCTACGCCCATTAACTAAAAATGTATAATACATATTCTAATTGTATGCTAATGCTATGCTTATTGCAATCATCGATTCTAATGCCTGGGTTATAATGGAAGTAACGGAACGAAGTGAACTTTCACTTAATTATCTATTGTATGGGAAATGATGGCAAATTGTTACAATGCACGTAAACGAAACGTAAAACGGAACAATCTAAAATCAATAGATTCTTACGAATTCGCCGCGATTTGTTACGATTCGCCCCGTCCATTATAACCAAGGCATAAGTGAATTAGCTCCAGTAGTTACTGATTTATCGCAGTTTTCGTGTTTCTGTAAATTACCGTTATATGGCAGGTGGGCGTGGTTATTGCCCAAAATCGATGAGTTTCAATAGATTTCTTAGATAGACCCTACCCTAGCCCCGTACCGAGTTTAGGATTGGTGAAGCGGATACTGAGATACAGCATTTCATCATAAGTGTGAGGATAATTTTTGCTCGAGTTATCGTGTACACGGACAGACGGACAGACAGACATGGCTTAATCGACTTCTCCATTCATTCTGATCATTTATGTATTCATTTGTCCATATCTATCTCGATTCGTTTTGGCTGTTACAAACAACTGTTATGCGAACAAAGTTAAATAATACCATGTTCTGACGGACATTAACACCGTCTGCAAAAACAAAAATATCAAAAATAATGCTAATTCTTAGCAACTTAAACTTCCACTTTGTCATACTAGAATATAATGGGTTATAAAACTGCATACTCACAATTTTTCTAAAAATTCTGAATAAAATATTAGTTGTTGTGAAGATATTTCGGACCGTTCTAATTTTTCTAAAAAGTTCGAAATGTTCATTTATAAAAAATTAACAAACATTAAACAAACAAAACAAAAACCGCTAAAACTGATAAAATGTCATGAACCTATTTTTTCACATAGCTGTGCATACGTTTGTATATAAATTATATAGAATAATTTCAAAATGGAATGGAATTAGCTGCACAAATCTGGACTCTGGTGTACTTTAAACAGTCTTGGAACACCTGAAAATTAAAAACTATCTTAGAATGAAGTAATATTACTTTTGATGGGGGGTAGGTTAATCGCTTACCTTTTGGTATGTAGTCGTTTAATTATTTCAAAGTTTTTGCAGCTGATGTTGTTGTTGCTGCTGCGAGACCTATGTTTATAAAATGCCGAAGCAATTCGTTTCAATCTTTAAGAAGGTTGTTGGTCTCTTTTAGGGTCTCATTCATGCTCTCAAATATTTTTAATTTGCGTTCCTCTGTTTGCGTTTGTTGTTTCCGCATGTATTGTAGGGAACTCATCCGTTTAGCAGCTGCAGACTTTTTGGGTGGAGGTGGACAGTCATCCATAGATTTTGCGCTGGATGTATCTGCTTCCAAGCAAGAGACTATGATGGAAGTACTTTCGTCGAGAGATGTTGTCTGGTCAGTGTTCACCATTGATGAAACAACAGGACCGAAGTTGACAGTGCGGTCAGTAGAAAAAATTTCGTAAGTCGTAATATTCCCATAGAACGCGACCACGGCCTGCAATATATTAATTACCTAACATAGTTGATACAAATTTCTTTCACTCACCTGTACTGTTTTTGCAGCGGTTGTCCTTTACATTTTTGTACGTTCATTTCATATTTCGCATTTTGCGATCCAGTGTGTCGTCAGCCATCCTCATCTTGCTTAAAATATCTAACCACAAGCTCTTCTTTTTTATTTTCGGGCCACGAAACTTATCTTTTCGCTTTCTATACTCCTCATGCTCACGCTCTTCCATGCCACTTAGGGCCGTTTACTCAATATGTGGTTAACACTAATCTCCGTTTAAACATCATTATCGACGTGTTCGGCTCCATGCATATAACATGGAGTCGGTAACGTCGATAACGATGTTTTACCGGAGATTAGTGTTAACCAGACATTGAGTAACCGGCCCTTAAACTTTGTTTCGCCTTGTTGACCTGCAATTAAAAGCATATAAGGCCCGTGCACATAGAACTTTGGCGTTGCGTTGGCGTTGACGTCGCTTCAACAGCTGACTATGAATACATGAATTCAAATGCAGCCGTCCACATAGCCAAAATTCGACAACGTTCACGCCAACACAAAGTAAAAAGATGGTCAACTCTCAACTTTTCGCATGCGTCGTTCATCAGCTGTTGCAAATAAATACAATTATGTGAAATATTATTCCTTTTTAATCAAGTGCGGGCAGGAAATATCGTTTTTAATGCAATTATTGATATGACATATTAATTTATTTGTCGTTAGTATGTTAATTTAGTAGCCCAAGCATTCGCTGCCAAGCGTTCATTGTAGCAAGCAACTTTTAACGTGCGTTCTGTCAAACCAACGCCAACGCCAAAGCCAACGCGGAAGTTCTATGTGGACCGGCCTATACAGTTACCTACCGACCCTATTAAGCTGGCATTTCAGGGTACTATTTTATATATATATAAGGAAAATTTGAAAGTTAAGCACCCCCTTGCCCCTACCTGGCTACGCCCATGAAGACGAAGCATAAAGAAAAAATGCCAGCAATGTTGTGCACATGTTTGTGCTAACCAATTTATTATTTTTGGTAATTCTCTAGGGTGGGGTAACAACCCCTAAAAAAGGTGCGGAAAAGTCGGGAGGGGTACCAAACGACGCGTTTCGGCCCCCCTAATAACAATCCGGAGGGGGGTAACTAATATTATTAACCATTTAAAAGTTATGAACAAAAAACTTTTGTTAAATTTCGTTGTTTTCTATGGGCAATTACACCGACAAAGATTCACTAAATCACCTGTTCTCACTTTGTAAACACTATTAAAATATATAATTTAACTTATTTATTAAAGAAACACATAGTTTTATCAACTAATACTATGTCTCCATTGTGAGATTTAATGAAGATTTAGCCCTCTGACGAGATTTGACGTTAAATCTTTTGAGATTTACCATATAAAATTAAATCTCGAAAGGCAGTAGATTTAAGTTAAATCTTCGTCAAATCTTCAATAATATTGATCAATAAGTACAATTTGTTGGATGTGGCAACCACAAATTCACATGCCATAAGTCAAATGACATTTGTGTTTTCAATATACAGTTGAGGACATTGAAATCTAACCTATCATAAAAACATGAATTTTCGTATTTTTAGGGATTATTATATTTTTGTTAGTTTGGGAGGAAAATTAGTAATACATATTTACATAACTTTGGTTGTAATAAATTAAGAAAATATTATTTTAAAAACTAAAAATTTAGAAGAAATGTTTTATAGTAATATCATGCAGAGTCTTCTCCGCTTTCTATAAGTCATTTACGCGCTGCGACAAAAAATTTATAAATTTCGGTAATGGTTCTGCTTCGATAACATTGCACCGCACATCCTCTAGAACTCAGTTCGTTTTCATGATATGCCAAAGGCCCACGATTGGATTTTCGGTTCCCTCCTATGAATAAGAGAGTTCTACAAAAATTTTTCTTTCCGCAAATGTTTTTTGCCGTTTTGATAATTTTTCTTAAATTCGGGAAAATGATTCGGAATATGGTACCATTCTTTACACTTTCCAAACTATATATTTTACATACATATTTACCACGAATAAGAAGCCAATATTATTCAGAATTCATATAATGAAATTCCGCTCGGCACCTTCCTTTTATCTGCCTGTATATCAATGTCCGCAACTGTATTTATAAAATCATACATAAGCAAACGTCAAATATTTAAAAATGTGAACGTCTCGTTGTGGTAATGGAGACGGTTGTCATTTAGCAACTGGATTTATTAAATCTTAATGGATAAATCTCTCAATGGAGACATAGTATAAGATAGATTATTTTGTTATTAAAAAGAAGTTGACAATCTTTGCGAGCCGAAACGCGAGATTCCAAAATAGCTATAGTGCTGCCACTGTATTAGTATTTCGTAATAATTCACTTTTCCTTATGAGATGTGTGCACTGTTCAATGCCTTTCGGTATCTTCTTTCGTTTAATATATATATAAATAATGAAAATTTTTAATAAAAAATCGCGCGATTTTTTATTAAAAATTTTCGCCTGCGTCGCTTTTTCCATAAAAATCAATACTTCGATAAATAATGAAAATTTTTAATAAAAAATCGCGCGATTTTTTATTAAAAATTTTCGCCTGCGGCGCTTTTTCCATAAAAATCAATACTTCGATAAATAATGAAAATTTTTAATAAAAAATCGGGCGAGGGTATAGCGAAATTTGCTATTATGTTTTGGTTACAATATCTTATTTAGATGAAAGTAAAAAGAAGAAGAAGAAGTGTATAGTGTATAGTGTAAACTGAGTATAATAGCGCAAATGAAATGTGAAATAAAGTGGCAATACCAGCGATTTGAGGTTATAATAATTTTAGCAGGCGCAAAGTTTGTTTACTCTGTTTTATTAACGAAATATATAAAATAAAAGTGAATAAATGATTTGGTTTGCATAAAATAATAACCGGAAACGTTTTAGTAGTGTTTTAAAAGTGGAAACTGGTGATTTGGTGCATTTTTGACGTGGTAATTGCTCATAGAAAACAACGAAATTTAACAAAAGTTTTTTGTTCATAACTTTTAAATGGTTAATAATATTATCTCCCCCCCTCCGGATTGTTATTAGGGGGGGCGAAACGCGTCGTTTGGTACCCCTCCCGACTTTTCCGCACCTTTTTTAGGGGTTGTTACCCCACCCTAGAGAATTACCTTATTTTTGTGCGTGTTTTTGCATCCAATCACCACGCACTTCATTTTAATTACATTTCCACAAAAAATCACTGAAATAAACCACCGAAAAAATACACATAAAGAAAGAAACAAAACATAAATAGCAAACTTCAAAATTACGAACGTCACACACTTTTTTCTCAATTGCTATTACAAATGGCTGCTTCTCAACCGGTCAGATCTGTTCTAATTGGTTCATGTAGGCTTGCCAGATTTTGAAACGGAGAAAGGAGTACATTTATATTTTCGATAGAAAAACAGCAGTACATGACATAAAAAAGGGGTACAATTTTTTTTAATTTTTTGTGCAATTTATTGTTACAAATTACCATTAATTATTTACAAACAAAGATATCTTCGAAATCTTTTTCAAAGCAACAATAAATGTGAAAAATAAATAACTATATGGGTTGGCTTTCCAATAGGGACGATTGTTAAAGAGATGATGATCGAAGGGGGAGTGGACGTGGCACCTTTTCCGACCTTTTTGGAGAGGGCATGAACCCCTATTGACAAAAATGTTACTCCCGACCACCTAGGGCTCATGCGGGACCCCTTAGAAAAATTGCCAAAAGACACAATTTTCACTTGCGTCCACAGTATTTTTGCGTAGAATTCGGTTCTCAATGACCGCCCTTATAGGAAAGTTTCCCCAACTAAAAAACTAAAAACTACGAAAGAATTCCAGACTCTTCCTGAATGTATGACCATTTTTTTAATTGAAGCCTTATAATTAATTTATTATTTTTCTGATTTTTATACCCGAGCGCCCTGCCCCTAAGGCTATGCTTACACCTTTTCACTATCACACTTAACTTTGCTTACTAAGTAGTGTTTGCCACAATATGAATGGCAAAGTACAGCGCGCAAAATAATACCTGTCGCACAGGTTTTTTGAAAAATAAAAGGGTTCTTTATAGATTTTGTGTTTTTTTTGTTAGCTTTGTAAATACTTTACTTTAATTTTATTAATTGGTTTTAAAATTTTAATCCTGATTTGCATTTGCATGCGGCACGAACCTCTTTTTCAGGTGTATTTTTTCTTAGATTTTGTATAAAAAAAAAAGAAAAAAAACTGTATAGGGTTAGTCGAATGAATGCCTTCCTAGTCGCCAGTTTCGAGTCTTTTCGATTGCTGAGTATGAGGCCTTATGTTGGACAAAAGACGGAGAATAAAGGACCCAAATGGGGGAATTAGCCTATGGTTACAGAAGATATGTAATAAAGTAACCGACGAAGACTTGCGCTTTTCTCCCAAAGTGTTTACCGCCGGTAAACCCAAATGAAGGTTAAAATTTAAAAACAAATTAATAAAATTGAAGTAAAATTTGAGGATAATTAACAATAAACCACTTTTTCGCAAAATCTATAAAGGCCCCTTTTATTTTCAAAAAAAAAAAAACAGTGCAACAGGTATTATTTTACACCCTGTATATGATAAATATTACTAGCTGGAAAAAGGAGTACAAAAGAAGTACAAAGTTAATAAAGGAGTACATTTCCAGATATTTTTTTTGGGAGTACAAGGGAGTACATTGCAATAAAAAGGAGTACGTTTACTTCCAAAAGCAGTACGTCTGGCAACCCTAGGTTCATGGGTTTTAATAAGATACAAAACGAAAACTGTCAACGAAATATCCGCGCCGATCTACTAATGACCTCGCGCCGGCGTTGTTTTTTCTTAGCTGGCGAACTTAAGTTAGTTGATAAGCTTTAGCTGCTGTAGCTGCTGTACGAGTGAACGAGATTTCGAAAAAAATACAAATTTAATTTCAATATAATTATTTCAATTGTTTAATGTGAACTGTCAAAGTATAAACACAACATGTTGTCCCAAGTGAACAGAAAAATAATATGATGGAAAAAATGGCGCCGAAATCGCAACTGTTGTGCTGATCACAAATCCACAACTACGCGTTCAGAAGGTGAAATCGCAACAGTTTCTGAGCAGTTGCGCCTTCTGAACGCGCCCATTTACATATTTACTACTGACTAAATTCTATGCTCATCTTCCTATTGACCACTAACCATGTGCGATGTTCCTGCCGCTCCATGACATCCCCATCCATTCGCCGGACTGGTTGGGCAAGTATCAAAAAAAATTTCATACATACGTACATATATATTTCCACAATTCTCCTAGGGTTATTTGATGGACGCGCTGAGCCTATTTTGAGGGAATCACCAACAAAAAACTTCGGCG